CACGGTCCCCCGGAGCTTCTCTGGGTTTGCTCCAGCTGAGGTGACTGATATTTATTTATTTATTTCAATTTCTGTCCTGCCCTCCCTGCAAACAGGCTCAGAGTGGGTTACAAGGTCACGCAAAAAATTGTGACAACGATTATATGTAAGTTAAATGATTAAAAACAGCATTTTAAAGCAACGATTAGAAACAATCGGTTTGAAAGCCTTGTTCGCTATGCCCCGTTTGGGCCAATCAGAATCCTGTGATTTCAATAGGGGAGGGCCGGAGATGGATTTTGGATGTCCTCCGCCGAAAGCCCGGCGAAACAGCTCCGTTTTACAGGCCCTGCGGGATTGTAGAAAATCTCACAGGGCCCCGATCTCAAGTGGGAGCCAGTGCAGTTGGTGCAGCAGTGCCTGAATGCGAGCCCGCAGAACTGTCGCCATCAGCATAGGCGGCGGCGCATTCTGCACTCGTTGCAGTTTTTGGGTCAAGTTCCAGAGCAGCCCCATGTAAAGTGAGTTACAATAATCCAGTCTGGAAGTGACCTTTGCATGGGTCACTGTAGCAAAGCCCTGGGAAACGAGATCGGGAGCCGGTTGCCGGACCAGCAGCAGATTACAGAAGGCCAATCAAGCAACGGCAGCAACCTGGGCCTCCTTCGAAAGAGGGATCCTGGAGCACCCCAAAGCTCCTCACCCTTGATTAATATGCCAATAATCATCGCCTACCCAGGCAGGACTAATCAGTTTTATTCTACTCTTCTTTTAGTTGATATTTGTAATGAAACTACTGCGAAGGTAGCAAGATTTTGTGCGATGGCCGTCCTAACCAGACAAGACTATGACTTCCTAGGAAATTTTAAAATCCACATCTCAGGGGTCTTTTTGTAGAAAAAGAGCTGCAGGAGCTCATTAGCATATGGCATGCTAATGAGCCACTGCTCTATTAGCATATGCCACACCCCCTGACATCACGGGAAGTGATGCCAAAGGGGAAGCAAAAGGGGGGAGGCGTCTTCAAAAGCCTCCCCTTCCCCAGCTGGCCTGCGGGGGG